GCTGAAATTTCTACATATATAACCTTAACCGTTTTTGTTTTGGTGAACCATAGGAGCGATTTCAATCACTTAGGGGTGAGTCACAGTCTAGTACCGAGAGTCATCCCCCTGATGAGGTATCTCTTTGGGAGCAAAGTGTCGGAGGAAGGGCCACATCTTTGGTTTCAGGACCTTCCAGGATCCTTCTTATGCTATGACGGGTAGATATAACAGTAGCACCGGGAGATCATACTAGTCAACAGTGGAGGTATGTTGGTTATATTGTTATATACTTTCTCATTATTGAAATTGCGAACAAATTATTGATTTTGTCGAATATTGAATATTTATAGGTAACGGAGTTGAGAGAGAAGTTGGCAAGGGTAGAGGAGGAACTGGAGACCGGACGGAAGAATATGGCAGATTTGGAGGCCAGACAAACTGCCTAGTTAGCCGAACAGGCCAGACAATCTGTTGCGTTAGCCGAACAGGACACTTTATCGAAGCATTTTGCTGCGTTTATGCGGCAGTCAGGATACATTTCCCACCCCCACCTCCCAGTAGTTGGATTATATGAATTTGAACATTAAATTGTATGAATTTGATATTTTAAATTGTATGAATTGGATATTTTAAATCATATGAATTTGTTAGTTTTAATTTGTTCATAGTTTTGGTTTGTTATTTTATGGCCATGTTTTGTATAAATAAATACAAGAATTATGTAATCATAAATTATTTATTTTTAGATTAATAAACATTAGCGACAAATTAGCGAGGAAAAATCCGTAGCTAAAAGTCTCTCCCCGTTCACTCGTTGATCCGTCGCTGAAAGGTTCCCTCGCTGATCTATCGTTGAAAGTTTCCCTCGCTGATCCGTTGCTGAAAGTTTCCCTCGCTGATCTGTCGCCGAAACCTTCCCTCACTTGATGGCATTACCTACGAGCTTTTGACCGACGAACTATCGGCGAGGGATCAGCGACAGAGCACCCCTTTTGCGACGGATCATCGAAAGAATTTTCCCTTGCTGATACTCTTCATTTTTGTAGTGTGATATAGCGCAAAATGAAATATGTTTGTTTGGTAGTTGTTAAGAATGAATTGGGGCTTAATGGTTTAGGTAGGGCTAAGATACAAAATCATGTAGAGAATTTTACAACTATTAAGAGGCAGACTTTTTTTGTCAAAGAAAATTCACTAGCTTAAGAGACTGATTCTTAATGAAACTATTAAGAGGTAAACAAACAACCCCTTAATCGAGTTGTCAAATCTTCAAACCGTAGGTATTTGGTTGGAATTGTGTTAGGGCCATTTAAACCCAAACTAACCTAATCTGATGATGAATATGATGTCTTTCTATACTATAAATTTTAGTATGATTATTAAATTCTTAATCAATATCTATAATTGTTAGGCTTAATAAAGTATCATGCAATTTTTTTTAACATTTATTGTGTAAATTGTTAGCCTTATCTTGTCTTTTTTTTACTTTGTTTAAAACTAATCACTTAGCTAGATTATAAAATGATATACAAAAGTTTCAAACTCGACCAATCCAATTCGTATAGTTTAGGTTGGGTTGAGATTTTTCAAGGTATAAATATTTGGTTGGATGTTCAAATGGTTTCAATCCAGACAATCCAACTCATATGGTTTGAGTTAGGTTGGGTTGTAATTTTGCTTAGGTATATATAGTCGGGTTTAGATTTCTCATATCGCAAACATTTGGTTGATTTATTTAAATGACTTCAACCCGATCAACCCAAACTAGGGGTGACAATTTTGTAACAAACTAAATTGATCAACATGTTTTCCAACCATACAAATTAAATTGGTACCAATTTAATCAGTATCAATTACAGTCGGTTGGTAGTACATACCAATTATGAAACGTTGGTTGGTACACAATATTAAAAGTCTCGTACCATGGTGGTACCATTGTACCAACTTATTTAATTAATTATTATAGCTTTTTTAATTTATGTATTAAATATTAGTATCATAACTTTAATTTTTTTATTTGAGCATTTAAATGTTTACATATTTTATTCGTTATAATTAAAAACCCTTAAACATGATTTTTTTATTACCCATAAAGTTAAAATGTCAGAAAAATTTGAATAAAGTTGTAAGTTTTCGTGTATATAATTTAAAGTTGTTACAAATAAATACCAACCGGAAAAAATATAGTACCAAATACTGTTGGTTGGTATATGGTATAAGATTATACATATCAATAATAATCAGTTGATACACAATATTTGAAAGAAAAAAACTTGATATCTATACTATATTATAAAGCATTTGACAAAAACTCTTAAAAACCATTTTTTATGTGTAAAGTACTGTTTATTAATGCATATTACTTAAAACTCAAGATTACAAGTAGATTGTGTATAAGTACAACTTATTAAAGCTCCATATCTGAATTCGTGTAACTAACTGCAGATAAACATAATCAAATACAGGATAAACATCTCATTTTAAATATAAAAAATCTAATATATAATTAGGATAATTATTGAGTTCTAACATAATATTAAATTATTATATTTATAAAATGTTATATTATTAAATCAAAAATAAATTATTTCATTATTAAGCTTAAATTAAATTATAATAAAAAAATAATTAAAGAAATTACATAAAAATATAAAAAAATTTAAATAGTTGATTTGATATTAAAACTGATATATATTTTTTTTTCAAATTTTTATAATATTTTCAAATTTATATTTTATTCAAAAATAAAATTATTATTGCTTTCTTAAAAACACAATCTATACTATATTATAAATCATTTGACAAAAACTCTTAAAAACCACTTTTTATGTGTAAAGTACTATTTATTAATGCATATTACTTAAAACTCAATATTACAAGTAGATTGTGCGTGAATACAACTTATTATAGCTCCATATCTGAATTCGTGTAACTAACTGCAAATAAACATAATCAAATACAGGATAAACATCTCATTTTAAATAAAAAAAATCTAAAATATAATTAGKATAATCATTGAGTTCTAACAGTATATTTAATTATTATCTTTATAAAATTTATATTATTAAACCAAAAATAAATTAAACTTAAATTAAATTATAATAAAAAAATAAATTAAAGAAATTACATAAAAAATAAGAACTTTTAAATAGTTGATTTGATATTAACATTAATATATATATATATTTTTAAATTTTATATGATATTTTTGAATTTATATTTTATTCAAAAATAAAATCAAATTATTGCTTTCTTAAAACAAATAAAATCGTACTATAACATCGACAGAGACACATAATAAAGTAGAACATTAAAATCGAAATGTATCTCGCTACATCGTGCAAGTAACCTTCTAGTAATATTATTATATGAATTTTTTGCATCTCATGGCATCACTCTTGCATGTTACCATGACTAAAACTATGACTTGCTCTCCAATTTGTACTTTCCATGACCACACCATCAACAATATCATGCTTATTTAATCATATTTGTTGGTTTGATCCTAACAATATCAAGTTAATACAGTCATGTTTGTACATGTTTTTCTGACCAAGTCTTTTATTAACCGAGACATTTTGACAGATTATTGACATATATCACTATTTACAAACGAATTTGCGACAGTTAGTTTGGTTCAAAATACTTTGGATATTTTATAATATAATTAATTTTGTTATTTCTAAAATGAAGGAATTGTTTTTTAATATCTATTGCTGAGGTCGTAAATGGGAATTCTAACGTAATAACAAAAAATGGAAATTATGAAAATCTTAAAGCTTTTAATATTTTTTTATTCCAAAAGATTCTTTAAAAAGATTAAATAGGAGAAAAAGAAAAACTAAAATCTTCAAATTTAGAAAAACATTTATAGATTTAAATACTTAGAATTTTTCATATTGTCCTATCTATATTATATTATAAAGCATTTGACAAAAACTTTTAAAAACCATTTTTTATGCATGAAGTATTGTATATTGATACATATTACTTAAAATTCAAGATTACAAGTAAATTATGCATAAGTATAACTTATTAAATCTTCATGTTTGAATTCGTATAACTAACTGCGGATAAACATAATCAAATACAAGATAAACATCTCATTTTAAAATAAAAAAAATCTAAAATATAATTAGAAAAATTATCGAGTTCTAACAAAATAATTAATGATTATCTTTATAAAAAAATTATATTATTAAATCAAATATAAATTACTTCATTATTGAACCTAAATTAAATTATAATTAAAAAATCTAATTAAAAAGTTACACAAAGAACATGAATTTTAAATAGTTAGTTTGATATTAATATCGATATATTTTTGTCAAACTTTTATGATATATTCAAATTATAGCTTTTATCATTTTTCCGAACAAATTTTTTAAAATGGGAGAGAGGAGGAAAGTCATGCTTGATGACCATAAAACGACTTATTTTTTGAGTTAATTGCAAAAGCTCTAGCGTATTGAAACGTTTCTTGATTTCAATAAGCTCCAAAAGCTTTTTTTAAACCATTTTATTCTTATGATATGAATTATTATGTATAACTGCTAATTATTAACTGTAATAATTTTATTTATTAGTTATTATCAATAATTTATAAAATTTAATATCNTTGATGTATTTTTTTTCTAAATTTTTATGATATATTCAAATTTATATTTTATTTAAAAATAAAATCATTATTTTTTTAAAAAAAACACATAAATCATGTTATAACATCGACATAAACAAATAATAAAATATAACATTAAAATCGAGATGTATTTTACTGTATTGTACGAATACTCTTCTCGTTATTATACTAAGTACACTTTTAACTAGGCCCTAGGTATGATTTAACATATTATAAACGGACGTTGAAACATGCTCTTAAAAAGTCATGGATTTAGATGTAACTAATAAAAATAGTAGAAGGACTGAAAATGAAAATTGATAAGAAAACAGGGGGTTCAACCGCGGAATTCGTCCTCACAACCGCGGTTTTTGTCTCTCATGGCAGAATCTCCCGTTCCGTCAAAGTCGTCTCTCTATCTACGCATCCGGGATATTTGAAGCCGTAATAGTTGTCTATGACGGCTGATTTCTTCGATTAAGAGGTTCGATCATTGATTTTCTATGCTTTGTAGTTTGCGTTTTTCTTGGGTGTTAGGGTTTTTCTTTTTTTGATTGATCAAGTTTCTTTTAGATCAATTGCATTGCTGTAATTCTTTTTGGAGTTCGAAATCGAATATGGTTATTTCATTCCTGAACTTTTTGGCTGTAAAGTGTGGAGATTGATATTACGAAATTCGTTCCCCTCTTTTTTTTTTTTTTTTTGAATGAGGGCACAATTTAGTGTGTAATATGTGATTCAATAAGGTTTAGAATTCAGGAAATGATCGTTATGACTACTAGAATCTGTAAGAGAATATGATTTCAATTGAAACCGGAACAACTCTATCTGTTTAACCAACTAAATTTGTAGAATTATGCTTGAGATTTGTTGTTTATGACGAGTTTGTGTTCTTAACATTTCCTTATTATCCTAGAGATCAAGATTGCATACTTAACTACTCAGGTTGGATGAATTTTGGAATCGTGTAGTATAGAACTACAATTTGTTTTCATCCTGTATCTTCTGAAATTGATGGTATTGATTTTTTTTTAGTTTTTATATTTAAGATGGCGCACATAAGGTACGCCCACGGCATCAAAACATGTTTTGGTGTTTATGAATATGTTAACAACTTCATGATGGTTTAATTTCGAGTAGATAAGTCCCAACTCTTTTTCCTTATTTTTACAGTTATTGCCTGATATTATGGTCTTGCAAACCTACAGTTATGTTCTTTCATCTTGAATTGCAGGTTAAATGCACACAATGCAATTGTTCTAGAAGGCTGATGCGGATTTGTGTTTATATTTTTAAAACTCAGAAGTCTGCTTTAGCTGAACTTCCTTGATGTACATTTATGTATATGATTTTCAGCTGAAGAATTTACTACAGGCTATTAAGGTACAGTTGTTTAACAAGAGTCTGAGCTCCTGAAGTACGTTCTGCCAGTGATCAGGGTAAAATTGTTTACAGAGAGACTTCTGCCCACCAGCATTAGTAGATCATAAGAAGTGTTCCATGGAGATTTTGTAGTGAGATCAGGATAGAGTAGGTTGTGTATATGCACATCGGAATGGATTTGCAATTCAAACACGTCTTGTTGATTTTTCTCTTGTTACTAGTACAATATGGTTCTGTTACAGCGGATTCAGAAAACAATACTTCACAAAGGCTAATAACTGCTCCATTGAAGGAGACAATAGGAAGTGTTATAGACGGTACCAATTTAGGTGAAGTCTTTAAATCTGATACTGTTACTGATGAACTTGAGGGAACAAACAGTGGGAACGGCAGGGTTTCAGTGACTACTGTTGCTTTGTTCACATTGGCGATGGCTGCTGCTACTGGTTTGGGTGCCTTGCCATTCTTCTTTGTTGAACTTGATGCTCAGTGGGAAGGGATTTGCAATGGGATGGCTGCGGGAGTGATGTTAGCAGCAAGCTTTGATCTAATACAAGAAGGGAGGGATCATGGGAGTGGCAATTGGGTTGTACTTGGTATTTTGGCGGGTAGTGTTTTCATATGGCTATGTAAGAAGGTATTTACTCATTGGCTTATTTGCCTATATTTTGCTTTAGCCACTCAACTAAACTTGCATGCATGATGCATCGTTTTCTTGTTGCTTGCCATGTCAAGGGGATAATTACATATAGTCAGTTGTTATTCCTTTTATTATTAGTTAATAGCATAGCTATAGTCTCTATACAAGTTCCCAGCACTTCTTGCATGAATTTGGTTTACAGAATTATAACTAAAAACCATTTTCTTTCTTGCTTGAGTTGCTGTGTGAGTTGCTTTCAATAAAACTATAAATTTCTCTCAGCAATTTCATTATTAGGGTATCATTCTGATCTTGATACATGTGCAACAACATTGCATCGCAAGTTTGACGTATAATGTGATCAGCCAGGCAGAAGAGTTTTCTATGCAGATACTTAAACACAATATTAATTTTTTGTGTATCCTATGATGTCTCTTGGTCTGTCTGTGCTTCAGCTTGTTGGCTCTCTAAAACGATAAGGTTTATGAAGTTGTTTTGTATATGGACATCCCTTGAGAACTTTTATTAATATAAAAGTGCCTCCCTTCAGAAAAATACGAGCTTTCTTTAAAAAAAGCAGCTTAATATAACAGTGCATGCGGAAAGTCATGAAATGTAGAATGGTAGACTAATTTGGAAACTTCTGGAACAACTACCCTTTGGAAATGGCCTCTATTTCTAGGAGAAACAACCTATATTATTCAACTATATGGTCGTTCTCTTTTTCACTAACTCCCTATAGTCACCACAAGTCTATCACTTGTAAGTTATTTTATTAAAAAGGAAGTAAATAGAGAAAATCCATGACAATTGACAAACAACAGTAATGCTGAATCGTTTTCTTAAATAATAAATTATTGAAATTCTACCAACCAATTAGAATTACTTCTATATCATCCTTTGAGGCCTTTCTGCGCTTCAACACTTCCTATCTTACAATAGACAGCCCCAGGTTTTGTTGGTAATAGTTCATATCCTCGATGTTTAACTAAAGAAAGGCGAACTAAGGTCCGCGATGAATATTCTAATACTTTAGGATCAGATTTGGGGGTTTCCTTACTCTTCCCACTACTGTTGGATGACAGTAGATTTCCACAGACAACATTATGGAGCTTCAAAGTCAGATTAGTTGTATTTATCTTGATCAATATGGAATACAATGAAGGCTCCTAAGTGTAGAAAAAAATGAAATGGGTTATAATTATTCAATCTGTTTTGGATGTGGACAATGCGGCTGGCCACACGCTATTACCCTGATATGTTTGACAAATATATCTTTTATTGATTCTTTAGACTCTACCTTTTGAGCAGTAATCCATTATCCATCTTATGTACAGTTTTTATCAGCTTTATAGTATATAAAACTTTGATCCGCATCTAAAAATTTAACATCAAGTTGGTTTGTTTCGGACTGCATGTTGGATTGATCGAGATGGAACACTTCAATCAAGGGCACATTGGCTGCAATGGTTAAAATTCAGATAAAGCATACTAGTAGGGTGCACACATGTGCTACCTAGTCAACTGTCGTACTCTCTCTGTCACAGATTGCAACTGTATTAAGGGGTTCTTCCCTCCTCCCTTCTTCCAATATAAATATTATGTTGCTACTTATGGACATTGTATTTATGAAGGACTTCAGTCCAATGCCAGAAAGTGTTCAAGAAATAGAAGGGTGCTGTATGGTTTGGATCCCTTATCTTAATTCTAGAGTTCTACACTTCGGTAAACTAATCATAGGCCAGAAATGCACTAAAAAGATGTAATGATTTTTCACACGAAAAACCTACTACTCTCTTACCGATCCCAGGCAGGCCTACGCATGAAGATTCCATGTATTCTCTGTTCATTGTATACCATAGACAAACAATGTCATTGCCCATCTGGAGTAAATATAACAATGACCCTTAAGATATGTCAGGAATATATGCTAAAATATGTTACTGTGTCAGATATGAAATCCCAAGTAATAACATGAACCTGGGAATATGTGAAGTTTGCAGTCTACACTTACAACAGGATCATAAGGGATCCTTGCTATTGACTAGAACATGAGATTTCTTTGGAACTGTATAACCTCATTCAAAAGCGTTCTTCTATTGCTGTTTTTGACATGCAAGTGTTTTGCTGGGGGCATCACATTTGACATAGTATTTTTTTTTTATGTTCTAGTTCCTTGAGCATTATGGTGAAGTCAGTATGTTGGACATAAAAGGAGCCGATGCAAGCAAGGTTATTCTCGTAATTGGAATCATGACTCTTCATTCTTTTGGGGAAGGTTCTGGAGTTGGGGTATCTTTTGCTGGCTCAAAAGGTCTCTCTCAGGGTCTTTTGATAACTTTAGCTATTGCTGTTCATAATATACCAGAAGGCTTAGCCGTTAGTATGGTTCTTGCATCAAGAGGAGTTTCTCCACAGAATGCTATGTTATGGAGTGTGATTACCTCATTGCCCCAGGTATTCTTTTGCACTCTGATTGGAATCTGATTTGTTTTTAGTAAAGGAGCACAACCTTTGTAGCGCAAAGCATCAATCTGTCTTTAGGGTATCATCAAATTCTATTTGTATAATGACACTTGTTTTTATGTAGAATATGGTTTAAAAACATCAGGTTGTCAGACATTACTTTTACCTGTACATGTGTAAGGTCACTTATGATATTACCACCTATAAGTTTCTTAACTGATCAGATCTTTCATTTATTACCAAAAATGTTTATTCCCATAGGTTCATAATTTGTTGCATGATTGCTAACAAATGATGACGGGTCAACAATGCTCTTGCAACTGTGAGGGCCGAGAAGGGTTTAGAATTAGCACCGTCTTGCAAGAGCAATGGATGCATCATATAAGCATAACCTCGAAGGAACACATAAATGTTTCCTCTGTGTCAATTGCTATGTGATATGGAATATGAAGTGAAGATAGTGTTTACGATATAATAGGCGTTGCTTTTCTGGTTTGGTATCTTATTTGTCCATGTTTTGTCAGCCTCTTGTAGCAGTACCTTCCTTTATATGTGCGGACGCCTTCAACAAATTGCTGCCGTTCTGTACGGGATTTGCAGCAGGGTGTATGATCTGGATGGTTGTTGCCGAGGTTCTTCCAGACGCATTTAAGGTACAACACTCTATGAGAGTCCTGAGTATCTTAAAGCAGTCATAGATTTTAATTAGTTTAACAAGAAATATATGCACAATACCGATTGGTTCCTTGGTTTTTTCGCTTAATGCTTTCTCTTTATGATCATATTCTATTTACTTTGTTTGCCGAGGTTCTTCCAGATGAAGTTATTCTATGTACTGATTGAAGTGATCCCATTAAGCTCTATTTATTTTGCTTGTGTTTGATGATCTGGTTTAAGTAGGTTGTGGACTGATGTTGTCATGAACTATACTCGATCTTATATGTTAGGGGAAAAAGATTTTATGTGCTTCAAGTTGATTATATTTTACATTAGAGCACTGATCATGAGACAGCTGACAAGCTTTTAATCAGGGTTCAACCTAAAAGTCTTGGAGTAGTTTAAGACACATGTCATCACTGTATTTCTTATTGATATTTTAGTGATGTATTGGTATGGGTTAAGTTCCGGTGAGAAGGGGAGTTACAGTGAGGAGCGTAAGAAGAGATCTCCACCTTTGGATCAATCCTAATTGAACCCCAACACTAGTGAGGTGCACCGGATCAGTTCCCTTCTAAAGCGCAATTCATGGGTGGTCATGATATTAAAAGTGATCAAGGGTTTAAATCTCTTTTTACGCTTCTCATCATAACTTCCCTTCTCACACGATCATTTGCTGTATTAGTATATACCATAGAGTTATGCTATGGATAAGGTTGATAATTATAAAAATTGAAGTAAAAGGAGGTCTGACAGATACCATGCATAGTTCATGCTAAATGCAGCTAGATGAAAGAAAGAGCTGAAGCAGTAAATATTTACTCCTGGTCTAACATATACTCTTGGACTTTCTGGATTATTAACTTTATAATGTAAATATTTATTTATAGGGTAAAATCCATCAAAATGTAACAAAGTTTCAAAAGATTCCTGTTTTGACCGTAACTTGCTGATCTTGTAACATTTGATGAGTGGATGCCCATTTATGAAAGAGTTACAACAAAGTGGACGAAAAACTTCACATTCACGTCATCAAATGTTACATTATATAGGAAATTTTGATACTTTAGTACTTTGAATTAGAAGTTCTCAACTTTGTGAAAATGATTGAGAATTTTGAAACGTTGTTACATACATGGGAAATTATGAAACTTTGGTACATTGATTGAGAAAAAAAAATCGTGGTTACATAAAATAGGAACTAAACCAAGCTTTTTTTGCATTTTGATGCACTTTCCCCTTATTTATAAAGCGCAGTCTTTTATATTCAACATACTATTTTGATTCCCTCCTTTTTGCCCCTCCCATTTGATGAAACATCTTATTTATGGTAAATCGCAATTAAAAAACATGGGTTCTGCCAATGGCTGAATGTGTATATGCCAATTGCAATTAGACCTTGCTTCTGCAAGGGGATAGGCTGCTCTTACAGTTTAAACTTTAAACCTGACCTTTATGGTGGCTATGCCAAGCTTCGCAAAACGAGCTAAAGTTCCTCTTCTTTAAACCTTGAAGAGAGAACGAAAAATAATTGTTATTTTGTCACCATCCTTTGACCTGCTCCTTTGACCTGCTTATATAGGAAGCCTCTCCTTCTCATGTTGCATCTGCAGCTACACTTTCAGTCGCCTCTATGGAAGCACTTGGTGCCATGTTCCAAAATTTGGGCCTCAACTACAAGTAAGTTACTTTCGGTGTCATACACATAACACATGCAATCCCATGACTACGTTTTATAATACATGTATGGGAAACTATTTTTTATCCTTTTCTTTTACAATACAGTGTCCTTTATCTTACCTTATTGTAGTTCATTTATATGTTATAGCATATACTAAGATAATTTTTCTTGCTGGATTAATATATTTGACATTGACAAGAATGATAATCAGTTTGTGTTTTATATTTGACAATCATGTTTTGAGTTTGATAAATTCCCTGTCAAGGAATTACTACAATATGTGCACCAAGTTGGACACTTTTTGCTAGTTTTAGTCTGAAAAGCACAGGAATGGGTGCCTCATTGTTTAGTGGGCATGACATTTTATAAAATTCTAAACTGAGTGGCACACAGATATATGTATTGGGTATGTGTCGCACTCATTCACACCTGGTGCAGATACATCACTTGGCTCACATATAAGTGGTTCACAGAGATCAGTCATTATTAGATATTTCTTGAATCTTTTAAATTGAAAGGATAATCTCCTTGGCCCGACCTATTTTGGAGCAACCATTTCAACCCAAATTTTTGTGACCCGATTTGGATAGGGTTATATACAAGTGTATTTTTTTAATTCTCTATTGGTATCTCCTTTTGATATTGTGGAATTGCGCCTGCCATGGACGTAGATCACTTGATCGAACCACTTAAATCTCTATGTTTTTGTGATTGACATTTGTTTACTTTTACTATTTATGGATCACGATTACTCGTTAGGTGTCTGTCTTCTACAGTAGTTATCAATATAATAAAGGTCATTTGATGACACATGTGAATCTATTTTAATGATATAGTTAAAGTTACATACCAGGTGATGAACCTTGAATTACTATAATGAAAAGGAAACAATTAACGATCTCCCAAACTTACAGCTTTATGGTGCTCATGTTTGTTGACTTATGAATTATTTTTATAAAATTTTAACTGCAGTATTGTGCCTTCAAGATCATGTATTATGATCCTGTTGTCTCTACCACTTCTTTCCCCCCCTTAACACATACATAGATTACATCCAATTCTCCATGCGGGATTTTATCCTCTAGAATTGGGGCGGAGGTAATTCTTTTCTGACTAAATTTTCTTGGATGTAGTTCAGAAGGTGCTTCTGGCTTCCTTGTGTCGTTACTATTTGGTCTTGGTCCCTTGCTGGGTGGCAACATTCTTGTTGCCTTTGCTCTTGCATTCCATCTTCAGCATGCTCTTCTCACCGGTGTTGCATCTGGTATCGCCTTCGTTCTTGGAGCCTGGAGACCACTTCAATTGCTATTTTCTTCCAAAATGGGATTCGTCACACTCACTTTTCTTCTCGCAATGGGGTCGGGATTCACACACATCTCTACTTCCATGGCAACTAAAATCGTGACCCGGAAAAAGACTTCAGCAAACACCTTATCTGATGCAACTGGCATCACAATGAGTGCACTCACGCTGCAGTCGATCCTATCATGTCTGACCGTGGCTCTCCATGCTCTAGCCGAGGGACTCGCTTTAGGTGTGGCTGCACCAAAAGCTTATGGGTTTGGTAGACACATGGTCCTGCCGGTTTCTCTTCATGGGATCACTCGTGGAGCTGCTGTTGCAAGCTGCATTTTCGGAGCAACAGACAGTTGGTATGGATCGTTGGCGGGGTCCGGCTTGATCGGGATCGTGGGCCCCATTTCTGCTATTGGAGCCATACTTGCTGGGATTGATTACAGTGGTTTAGACCATTTGATGGTGTTTGCTTGTGGGGGTTTGATCCCATGTTTTTGGAGCATGCTTAGAAGGGCAATGAGACTGGATAAACAAAAAAGCATCGTTGGTCTTATAACCGGCATCGGTTTTGCGAGTGTCTGCTTGATGAGCACAAAGTTGGTTTGCTTGCATACCCCTTACTGCAACTCTGCACCAGAGGCTGTGAGATGATGGATTTCTAGATATCTTATCTTTCCGAATCAACAGCCGCTGCTTGTTTAGCACACGAGATCGGGAGTCAGAAATCAGAATATAGAGAGATAGTTGTTGGGAAAAAAGAAAAGCTCCGGAAATCAGATTATTTCTATGGCACAGGTACGACAACACTACTATAGTATATGCTACTTTAGATTTGTTTTGGTCTATGGTTCTAATGGTTTTCGGGGTTTCTCCCACTAATTCGTAACATTTCACATGCGTTTGGGGTCTGTAACACACAACGGTTTTTACTAAACTTTATACGGAACCGAAATATTATTTCTTCTGATAGTTGTGGTTTCTTATTGTGTTTTCAGACTTATATTATAGAACAATGCCTAACTGAAAAAACAACTGCTTTGGTCTATTGGGAAATCAGGTTAATGCATATTGGTGGGTTGTAGTTGAAGCACATACATTCTAACCTTTGAGGGTTTGTTATTAAATTAGTGATGTGTGCAAATTATATAATTTTTATTTATTAAAAGACAAGTTTTTTTAATATAAAATTAATGGAGAAGTATGATTTTATCTGCACCCAAAAAAATCGGAAATAGTGTGAGATTTGAATATTTGTCGGTAAAATGCCTTTTGCAGACAAGGTGGGGTGGGGTAATCTTTTATAAACTACAATTTTAGTCCCTGGACTTTGCACCCCACTACAACCAACGTCCCTAAAGTTCAGTAAGTATAATAAGCACATGTCCGAACCCCGTCTCTAGCCTTCCATCTTTGGCATACCACCACCTACGTCCATCTCAGGCTATCCACCTTGCTCATTGCTGCTACCCAAATTGCAACCCATTGCCGTTCCAAAGAGACACTACAACGATTACTACTTGCATTAACATGATCAGGTGAACAAAAAAACCAATAAGAAGACAAACAAAACTACGAAGTAGAGAAAAGCATCGATGCAGGTACGTAAGAGATAACAGCGGTGGGGTCATGGGCAATCCTTGATGAGGGGTGAAAGTAATTAAATATACTTTTAGGTTTATAATTTAATATAAAATAATATATCTTTTTTTGATTTTTAAAGGAAAAGTAAGAAAAGTAGGTTAAAGAACGAAAATGCCCTCATTTAATGACACTTTGGATTGACAAAAAATGTTAAATATAAACTACAGTTCCTATTATTATACTTAATGGAGTTTAAGGACGTTTTTTGTAGTTGGGTGTAAAGCATAGGGGTCAAACATGTAATGTATAATTTACTCCTAAAATTATAAACATATAATTGTTAAAAATTAATTTCAAATTTGTATTATTTTAAATTCAGAAATCTTTTTACAGGGTTGCGAACTTATCGCAAACCAGTTCGCAAACCAAATAAAAGAAGTTATACAAGCTTCAACACAACTATTGTGATGGTTAACTTTGAAAGGTAGAATCAATTTAACTTGTTTATTTTTATACAAACCCCTTTTTGTTTATTGAAAGAAATGGAGAAAAAAACTCGAAAAAGCAGCACTGTAATGGTTAGTAATATAGTTTTAAGAACTAGACGTTGTAGTGGTGGATGTAGACCCTCCGACGACCGGGGGCACACATTCGGTGGTGGTGGCATGGTTGTGGGGGAGAATATTTTTTTTCCACTTTGTGAAAGTTGACACTTAACGTGTTAAGTCTTTGAATGGTTGACCTAGACCCGTGTTTAGTTCTCAAAGAACTAGCACTGGATTTAAACAAACAGTTTTTGTGCATTTTACAAGCACTTGGAATTTGATGGGAGGAACAGGAACAGGAACAGGAACGTGGTGTTAAAAAATTGATTAGCATCATATAAATTAGTGATAACTAGTTCAAAAGCGTATGACGTGTTAAAACTGGGTTTTTATTAATTTTTATTTTTAGATTTTCAAATTATAACAGATATGTTATGGATGCTTTTGTAATAACAAAGTTTTTAAAAGGCGCGTGTATCATGTCATAAGATGCGTTTTTACCGTCATGAAAAGGCGTATACTGTATGTGTAAGGTGTTTCTCACATCTTCGCGTCTTGAGGCGTTGTTATAGTGTTCCATGACGTGTGGTTTGTAAGACGTGATTTTTTTTCAAAAAAGATTATGTTTTTTATAAGTTTTCTTTACTTTTGTGTTTTACGTTTTTTTATTTTAAGTTTTACACTTTTATAAATTTACCTAATCAAATCCCTCACAATTTCATTATTTCATACACATACGTTACGGACTCATGGTTAAAACGAATTGTAAGACCCTTCCAAGTTCCATTTTGAGTTTTTAAACACAAACTCTTTATATAATATTCAGAGTAAATTAAATTTTGGTCATTATGATTGCCACCACTATCACAAAATTGATTTTATAGGATGCTTAGAATATCTAAACACCATAATAGTATACTTTATAGAACAGAAGTTTATAGGATCAAACTATAAAACATATTGTCTAAAAGTATTGCAATAGGTTTATAGGACGTTTTTAGACGTTTTAACAAGTTTTTATGACACTTTTAAAATAAAATGTCTTATTAGCTATTTTTATAGAACATTTAATTTTGAGAAATATCCTATAAATTCATCTTTTTACAGGACATTTGTGTTCATATGGTACTTTTTCAAATAATGTCGTATAAAATAGATAATACGACATTTTATTTTAAAAGTCTCCTAACAAATTTGTTAAAACACCTAAAAACATCATATAAATTTATTGTAACACATTTAGATATGATATTTTTTGGTTTGATCCTATCAAATCTAATCCCTATTTTAAACTAATTACACTATCATTGTAATTGCCACTTTGTTTCTCTTTTAATCATGTGACTAACAGTGTTAACAAGGTCCATTAACTCCAAAATATTTTGCTATTTTTTATTTATTTGATTTTATATTAACAAATGTAAATAAAAATATTATTACGTTACATATACTCACCCAACCTTTTTCTTCCCCAACCATAGTATTAGTTTCCACAAAAAAACACCCATTTTCAAGGGCAACCATTTGTTCCAAAGATTTTGATAAAGAGATCTCTAGCCAGTCTCTTCTTTTGAGAGGACAACTCAATCAACTCGGCGGATCCCCTCTTGTCAAAATACTGAGAGAGTGAAGCATTTGTTTCGTTTACATTCTAATTATTTTCCCATAGTTAAGAGAGTCAAGACGATCTTCCTTTTCTTTTGCCCTAAGCCCCAGTCATCCGTGGAGCCTTTTCATAGCTAGRCCTCCTCTTTTTCGATGACTTAGGAGGGAAATTCTCTTCTCGCAATTAGGAGTCAGTGGATGACATCCCATTCTACGAGTTTACTTACGGCTGGAGTAAGCAGAGAGTCAAAAAAGTCCAGGGAAGCTTTTCAAGTAGGATTCGAACCTACGCCCGACTAGTCAGTTACCAGCCGAC